AATGATGAGAATAGTTTTTGCTTTTTGTGTTTAGATTTGTTACATCAAAAGAGACCATCGTGTACGAATCAATTGATTTAATTGAATTCAATCTGTTGACTAGATCGACTGAACTTTTTATAGAGAACATTGGTTTGTTTCAAATAAGGGAGATGAGCAATGTGTTAAGGAATGCTGGGAGAGATGAAACAGGTGTGTTGCAAAAACTAACTACTGGTCTGATGGGGACGTTTGGCTTGTGTATTTTGGGGAGTCCATACAACCTTGGCATGATTGGGTTCCTAGGCATTGGGATTTTATTTTTATTATGGAGTTTAATGAATTGAGAATGCTGTTTTATTAATTTTCTTGTTCTATTGGTGAATGTGTTAAAAGGGTCAACTTGTAAATGTTTGAAATTATTCTCTGATAAAAAAGAAGTAACTTTGTCAATGTAATCTGCTTCATTTAGAATAACAATGTAATTACCTCGGTAATTACCCTTATCGGCTTAAGTGATTATCAATTTGTTTATACTAGCTTTTGTTTATATGCTCTTAAGGGTCTTTACAGTGGAATAATTGAATGTGCGATAATTTTTCAACTGATCATTAAGAGTTTGGAAACATTGAGCTTTTAAGATGGAGTTGCTTTCAGCATCCCTCAGGAAAAAAATCGATACTTAATTGCGTCAATATCTGGGGAGAATTCTTCTAGAAATCTTTAATCTATGGCATTATGTAGAGAAAATTTCAAACCCATTCCCAATAGGTCCAATTCCTCCTTTGAAAAAGCGCAGTTCGATAAATTTTTTACTCTAACCTGGAAGGTGTGATTTGAGAATGTGCCTGTGTGGCGATTGTCTGAAATAGGTTCTGGTGCTTGAAGATTTTAACTTACTCTCTAACTTATTGATGAGTTTTTCAGAATCTACCGTGTCGAAAATGTCATTCAGCGAGTTAAGCCATTGCCCACTTGTGTCAGCCTGGACAAGCTTGTTATATGCTTTTTTGAATAATGGAGCTTCGTGTAATGTTTTGAAATTTCGATTCTAATTAGTCTTCTCCTCAGTTTATTGCTTAAATTGGCTGGAATGTTTCTGGAAGTTCGGACTCTTGAAAAGACTGGATGTAAATCTTCATGCAGACAGCGATTGAGGAAGCATATATCTACTTCGAGCAGGGGTCTCCTGAGGATAAACCTTCTGTATAATCTATCCAAACAACTAATCCCAGACCTTCTTCTAGGAAACATTGGTCTTCTGGTCAAGATATGTCGACGATTGCTTCGCAATTGTAGATGGTGACCAGAATCAGATCGATTTCACTCTCCAGGTGTTGAACAATATGCACCCCTCCTTGAAGTTCACTGTAGGATCCGAGGTAGACAAGACTTTAAACTTCCTAGACCTTTCAGTGAGAAACGTCAATAACGCTTTTGAATATTCAATCTTTAGAAAGCCAACTCAAACTGATCATATGATCCACAACAAAACTTATCCAACCATTCATATTGTCATAAAATGGCAGCCCTTCATTGTTATATAATAGAATACTGAATATACCTCTTTCATCAGATAATTTCACTCTCGAACTGAATACTATCAAACAGATAGCAGTGAATAATGGTTATGACCCCACGGTTGTCGATAAAATATTGAATAATACCTTGAACAAACGTAACACTTCGTTGGCTTATAACACTTTACCCGCCTCTAATTACAAATATTGTTCCCTGCCCTATGTAGGTGCTATCTCTGACTCTAACAAAATATCTAAAGTTTTGTCCAACAATCTAGAAAATTTCAAAGTATCCTCTAAATCTTTCAACACACTTGCTTCTAATTTAATTAACTCTGATCAAAAACTTCCACATTTAAGTAAAGACACAGATCACCTAATACAGATGCGAAAGTACGTATACTTGTCGTCGACGATATTCTGTGACGAAGCCGGGCCGCCAGCTCCCCGACGCATATTTTTGCAGGTAGAAAAAAATATTTTTTTGCTGTTTGTGAACCAATTAAAGAAATAATATTATATTATTGAGCTACCGCATTTATATAATAAATATGTTCAAAATACATTGATGTGGCATTGGTGCGGCCAGCCTATGTCTATCAAATTAATCTTGAACCACGAATTCGCAGCTCTTTCGCATCTGTATGTATGTAATCTGTGGTAAAGAGTAAAGGTGGAGTTTACAAGTTAAATTGCGCGAATTGTAATTGTTCTTCAGAGGCAAGACGATAAGATCTTTATCTACGAGAGGAACGCGTTCTGAGGTATTCGGCCATCACCTTATTTATTCCGGGCATAATTTTCCACCTACTACTAACAGCAAACTTCTCCACCATATTGTCAATACCAATAACAATTTTAGAAAAATTGACTATCTGTAGGATTTGGAAATTAAAAGAGAATCTTCAGAGAGCTCAGACTGTTTAAACTTGAAACTCAACATAATTAACGACAAGGACCAAATCTTCAATCTGTTCACATAATTTTCTACTTATTCCTTCCTTTTCTTTATTTTATATTTAGTAGGTATAAGTTTATTTTATCGTTGCCATTGCTTTCATTTTATATTTATTTTTATTTCTACCGACTCATAGACGTCACCTCTGTGTAGTCAGCTTGGACAGGCACACCGTAGAAGGTACTAACGTGGTATGTACTTGGATTCATTTGTAATTCCTAATTTTAAATTTTTGATTTTTAATTTTTAATTGTTTTGAATCTAGTTCTGTTTAATTGTATTGTCTGTTCGATATTTTTATTTTTTTGAGTGCTCTTGTGTCTATTGTTTTTATTGTTGTGCTGCAAGGGAGTTTCGATTCTCGAATCATAGAGACTTGATGATCTATATTCCATGCATTTGTTACTCTCAAGTTCGCCTGGATGCCTTATGTATAAACCCTAATTGACGAGTAAGTGAGCTTATAATTAACTCGTTTTTTGTAATGTTTTATTTATCATCTTCTAATTATTCTTAGAACTGATCCTGAAGAAGAAAAAAATTACACCATTACGAACCTGACTCATTCTTTATTGAATACTCATGTTACACCATAAGAAGAACATCTACAGAAAGTAACTGAGTTCGACGATTTATTATCTGAAACGTTATTTGAATTTTCTATTGTCCACAACAATATCTACAACCTCTACATTGTTTGCATTTACTTACACAACACCTGACGCTAACTGGGTTACGTTTTTCCGACCGTTTTTCCAAAACTTACTAAGCTTGCTCGCCTCTCTCTAAATAGTAAATTGATTTTATGTCGCGATTTTAACATGGATTTATCCAGTGTGTGTGCTGCTCCAGAATCTCTTCAGTCTATACTTGAATCTTTTGGTATAGTCATAAAACCAGATCTAGCACTATCGACTACATCGTGTCATCTTTTGATCCAAACTTCGTAGATTGTACTGTCTTTAGTTCAGTTTTTTCAGATCATGAAGCAGCACTCACAAACTTTTCTCTTAAGAGCAATAGCAGGAAAGTCCCACGTAAGTAACACTGAATTTATTCAGAATTTTTTTTCTCAATTTTCACTTTTCTCAAAGATTGGACTTGGATTGCCTCTCTGATGACATCGATGGTGAATTTTCAACATCTACAAACAAACTATCTAATCTCGCTTTCAAAGCATTTTTTCCTCTCAGACCTATCAAAAATAAACAACATAAACCCTGGACTATTATAGGCTTGCGTACATCGGCAAAAAACATGCGCTCATTGTCACGCCTAAAAAAATTTTTGGGCGGTCTTCTTTCAAAATTACGTTAAACTCCATAGAAAAATTTTTCATAAACTCTTAAATGCTGCCAAAGACACCTATTATAATAACCAGTTCTCTAGAACCAAAAATATTGCCAAAGTAATGTGTTCTATTGTCAACGATTTGAGAAATATGGCTTTCTCGTCCGGTATAACCTCTCCCTCCCTTGAGAACCTGAACGATTTCTTTGTAATTGTGACAAAAAATTTGATGACTGAGACTGATAAAGCTCGTTTCATAGCTTTCTAATACCGATATGAATTTGCAGTTTCTTCCTAACACCCGTAGTAACATCAGAGCTTTGCAGTACAATTAAAAAAATCAAAAACAAATTGTCATCTGGGACTGATGGACTCACTTTAGAAATTGTTTTTGAACTTACCAAAATGTACATTAAATCCCCTCACTGCTTTGATAAATAAAGGATCCTTCACACTGGCGCGATATGACGGTAGCGATTTGTCCGCTTTCTACCGCCGTTACAGGGGATCCTTAAATCTTTTCAAGAAGGAGTGTTCCCAGATTGTCTCAAAATGGCTATAATAATTATTCCTCTGCACAAGGCTGGTGATAGAGACCAATTTTCAAGCTTTCGTCCAATTTCACTTCTTCCCGCTTTATCCAAAATCATTGGAATATGGATTAAAGAATGGCTTCTATCATTTCTGCATAAATATAACATGCTAACTATTCACCAATTTGAATTTTTTACCAACAGATGCACTATTGATGCTATGTTCTTTTTCTTCAATAAAGTCTCCTCTAGTTTAACAATCTGCACTGTACAGCATGAATTTTCTGTGATTTTTTTCAAGCATTTGACTATACAAATTATAGTATCCTAATTAACAAATTACAGTATTATGGAAGGTGAGGCTTTCCTCTGGAATGGTTCAAGTCGTATCTTAACACCAGGAAACAGCTTGTAAGGATTGATACGACGATGTATTCATGTAGCTCTAAAATCATATTTATTAGAGAGAGAGCCTTATATAAAGTGAATTACTTTTTTCTGAATACATAATTTTGAGCTTTCCACACACTGGATCATTGCTTTTACTTAATTTGTTTATTTTTGTTTCGACTTAGTATACAAGTAGATGTATACTATAATATTATAAATATATTTTCAATTTTAAGGCTTTGTAAACAAATTATGTATTAATTTTTTTTGACAAAAAAGCATTATTATTATTCACCTATCAACTGTATAAAAAATAATGTTAATTTTTAGTCAATAGACTCGAAGCAACTAGGTCCATATGGAGGAGGTTCTTATACATCTACTAAAGGTGAAACGGCTAAATTAACAGAAGTTTCATACGATAGCTTAAATGCTGGTTTAAATGAAGAGAAGGTGATATTAGGAAAGGTTGTGTGTTCTGCCAGAAATGAGGATACTGTGCCATTGTGAGTAAACTTTTTCTACAGAACAAAGTGATTGTAAAAATTCTTGAATTATTTTAGCACATTTTGTTCGATAGACAAACTAGGCACCATAATTGTAACAACAGTTTTCAATCTGGCAGACGGAAAAGGAGTTATTATTGGAGATTCTGTTGCTATTCCAGAACCTTATGTTACTGATGTCGATTTCAGTTATAAAAACAAAGTAAGTAATTTAACTTTTCCACAAATTTTCGTTAACTAATAATTTATTCTAGAACTTTAAATTTCGACTTATAAGAGTTGAAACTCCTGTGATAATGGTAGTGAATTCTAAGAAATTAGGTGTAAATCTTCAAGCTGGAGTGCAGATGTCTATATCCCGAAAATTTGACTGAAGCTTTCTTTTATATTAAGCGCTTTTTTTATTAATATTGATTTGTCACTGCTTTAATTTTTTGTACTCTAATTTATTATTTTTAGGATCCTTCTATGTAACTCTTGCAATATTTTTTTTTAAAATTATATCAACTAACTTTTTGAAAATGTATTTTGAATAACAACTTCTTGTCTAGATAACTAGATGGAGATATAAAACTCGTGCTATACATTCCCAATGTTCGCAATTTGACAAAAATTCTCACATATACTGGGACACATTTGCGAGTATTTACCAAGTTTAGGATGTAGAATTTCAATGCTTATGCTAAGAACGAAACTTTTCCAAGAATAATGAACTACATTCCAAGTTTTATGTAGATGACGTGCATGTTTTAAATTTCTAGTTTATTCTTACACACATGAGAACTCTAATATGTATTAATAATTTATTCTACCACCACTCGAAAGTAGTACCTACTAGTCCAAAAGGCAATTGAGTCATGGGCACATTTTATATTGATACAAAACTAAAATGAAGCTATTCATAAATATTTTATTACCTAATACCCCTGTAGTTCTAAAAAACTCACAATTATTTTCAAGCTAAAAATTATAAATATTTTACCTATATTAATGTATAAATATAATGTACAATTTAATATTAAATTTGTTTTAAGCAGTAAACTAAACTGACAATAAAACATTAACCTATGTTGTAGGAAGCATATAAGCATAAAATATATCACAACATTTTTATCACATTTTAAACAGGAACACTCTGGATAAGCGTTTCCTATTCTATTAGATATTAATTAAAATGTCAATAATTCGAGCGGTATTGCTTAGAAATCTTCTTTGGTTGTGGTTTTTGGGTATAAACTCTCCTAAAAACCATCGACTATAAATTACTTTCCCACAGTTTCAAGTAATTGTCCAAAACTTCCTCGAACCATTTTTTCTTGGCTGCGTCTTCTATTACTGCACTTAACGATTTCATCTCCATTCCTAGGATAGCTTCATTTTTTAGTAGATTATTCAGTCTAGTGAGTAACCTGAAAAAAATTAAATTTTTATTAATAAAGATAAAATAGATTATTCATTTGGTATTTTATAAATTCTAAAATAAATTTGTGGTAATGACATAATAAAGATGTCCCTGGCCTCTGGCATATTGATTGTCAACCTATATACCTAAGATCATATCTAGGTAGTTCTTTGGAAAAGACGATCTAAGATTTTTAAACAAGTTCCCCATTTGTTCATTACCAGAAACTGTAAATTTCTACATTGTCAGTAGGTACCATCTGGTAAAGAACACAAATTGCATTCGAATCAAACACAGACTGTATTTTAGAGTATGGAATCCATATTTCAAAAACTATAAATATGACATAGAAAAGGGGCAAAACAAATCTTTATACATATACATGTGATACAAAGAAAGTAGTGAGTATAGCTTGCATATAACCAGAATAGATATGATGAAAACTTACAACCTAAAATCTTTGGATAATCGGAGAAAAATTGCTTCCATTATGTTTTTGTCTAAACTGGGTAATAATTTTATTGCGGATCTTGATTGCTTATCTAAACTTTCATGTTCAAACTACAGAACAAGAAATCCACTCACATTTTAAATAGGTACCTAGATAATACTCGAACAAATTATTACAGCAATTCTCCCATTATTCCAATGTGTAAATTTTATACTATTATATAAAAAGTATATACGAGTACCAAAACCCAGGATCCTTTTACTTCAAAACCTCTTCGAAAACAGCTTCGGAAATGTAAAAGTCAACAACGCTCTATCTGTCTTTTGATCCGAAGTGCAGTGTAAAGCGGCGTTTCCACGACCTAAATACGGCCGAGAAGCAAATAGGTCACCTCATCGGGTACAAAAGGTTCGAGTTTCTTGGATGAAAGTTCTTTATGTGCATATCTCAAAATCGGCCGTCTGCCGGGGTCCAGCGGTCAACTTCACAAATGACAGCTCGTCAAAAAGACGAAAATCTGGGTTTTCTCACCTCATTGGTACATGCCTAAAAATTTCAGAATGTGTAAGGGAAAAGCTCCTAGAGACCTAATTCGGCCGGCAGACGTCGATATTTGGACGCCTATGTAAAGCAGACGCCCGCCGCGACGCCGAAAATCTGACGTAAGTTACCTTATGAGGTACACACAGGTACATATGCAAATTTGGGCTTAAATGAAAGGTATTTGTGTGTAGAGTAAACAAATATTTTTTATAATAGGCCCCTTGCATCAAATTTTTTTATTGCTGATTTCGATAGTCCATGAAAAATAAGTCAACACGTGTTTTTTCTTTTTCTTGTTAGTCAAAAATTGACGGAGATACAACGCTTTGAAATGTCCTTCCGACGTCATAACTTAGGTATAATACGTTGTGAGTTGTGACGTCGCACATGCTCAGTATATCTATATATAAAAAACTTATTATTTGTATAACTTCCGGAATAATCATATTTGGGTGGAATTAAAAAAAAGTAACTATTTTTTTTCGATTTCCTACAGTTTGCAATAAACAATAATCAATTTAATTTTCCATGCAAGTACCCTATTCGGCAGACGGTCAACAACAAGTTGCAGACGCTCTAGAAAATTTAGATTTTGTTGTTAATACAGCATAAAATATGAAATATTTAATAAATAACTACAAATTTATTAACAAAATAAATAATTCTGGCCAAATTATAGGCATGTGCGTTACCTAAAAACTACAAAATAAAACATATTCATAAAAAAAATAGAACAGTTGCGAAACTTTTTATAAGGGTAGAAGGTAGGTAGTAGATACCTATTGTAGATATCTACTCCTTTAAACTTAAAAAGCTACATAACATGTAAAGGAGTAAATAGGAGCTTTAGAGAGTCGAAAACAGTCAAAAAATATAAACTCAAATATAGATAGATACAAACAAAAAATACGTAAACTAAAACAGGTACAAAAGACGAAAAAGTGAATAGGAACTCTTAGCATTCAAAAATAATAAAAATGCCACATATAGAAAATCCAAAATTAAGAAATCTAACCAGAAAGTAGTGAAATATGACTTAGTCAAGAAAGTCTTCGACTGCATCATACTTAAAACTGAAAACAAAATAATATTATCTAATAAAAATATGGCACTAGTTGAAAAGCTTGTAGTGCATGCGTTGAGGACACTTTCAGCAAAATATCGGAAAAAATGACAAAATAATGGGCCGTATGCATAAAAAAAAGGTTATGCTTATACTTGCAGAATATGAAGGAAATCCTTCAGTTCGCATTCATAATATTCCGAGTAAAACCTTATACTTATAGAGTATGAGCATATCCTTCACAAAAAGTATTTGGTTATTCATAAACGTTACCTGTTACTCTAAATAAGAAGGATATCCTTCAATAATTTCGAGTGTGGTCAGTAGCAGACTCAGGCGTGTAGTGATCAGTTGTAGCGATGGCAGATGTTGTGGAACTGAGAGAAACTAAACATTACAAGCAGCGTTTATCAACACCTGTTCGTGATTACAAAGAACTATACTGGTTTGAAGAGGAAAATGTGCGATGGATTGCCAACAGATTTTTGGGAATTAATGCTGAAACTCGAGGAGGTGCGCTATCATCCGTCCAAAAAATGCAGATATGTTTACGTTATCTGAGTGACCCTGGGCATTGGTCAAGAACTGGGTGTCAAGCTACAGTATCTGGTACAGTGACTGCCGTAATTGACAGCATTGTGGCGCAATCGAATTACTGGATAAAGATTCCGTCTACCAACAATGAATTTATGGATGCGAAACAGTTATGGCAAAGCAAATATAGGTTTCCGACAGCAATTGGCGTAATTGACTGTACCCACGTAGGAAAACTTAAACCAAATCGCCATGGTGATGAGTATGTCAACCGAAAAGGTCATCCTACACTGAATGTGCAAGCCACTTGTGATGCAAGAGAAATGTTCACTAGTATGGACTATGATATGGACGTTAGTTGGCCTGGATCGGTCCACGAGTCAAGAATATGGAGAAATTCACAGATAAGGGTTCAGTTACAAAATAAAAACAACGTCGTGCTACTTGCTGATGATGGATATGGTATAGAGCCGTGGCTCATGACTCAATTCAGAAATCCCGCTCCTCCGATTCTTCCAATTGTAGGATTACTGTCGCCTTCCATAGCCTTCAATAACTTTTTCTTCCATTCCAACAGTTTGATTGCTTTATTTCCAGTTTTTTTCAAGTCAGTTTTTTTCTTCAACCTTCCTCTCATATTGTTTATTTTCTTTAAAAGACCTTTCGCAACCAGTGCATTATCGAATGTCACCTCGTACTTCCTGGTAATATTTCTAATAGCCTCATCATCCTTTCTACCTTTTATTTTTGGTGTTTGGGATTTTTCCAGAATCACGGGGGAATTGGCAATTTCATTTGCTATGAACTGCAGTTCGGTTGTAGCATTACCTTTTTCTGTACTTTCACTATCGCTACTTGATGAATACACCTTCTCTGATTAAAGTACTATACTCAAATAACTCCCGATAAGAAAGAAATACTGTAAATAGAAAACCATCGAAAATAGGTTGGAACCTGTCACGGCACACATAAGGCAACATGCCAACAACCTTTTACTTATTCTTGGAGGATATCCTTGCAAGTATAAGGTAATCATTATGAATACGAAAAAAAGGAAATGTTTATACTTCTACCTTTTTCTTCAACTCAAAACCTTATACTTCTACCTTATCAAGGATATCTTTCAGTTTTATGAATACGGCCCAATATCTGAAAAATAGTGATATGGAATTCTTAATTCAGGGTTCTGAACAACAACTTTCATCAGATTTTATGAAGGCAATGCGAAACGACAATTTTTATCAATCCTTGATCAAATTTCTATATACCAGTTCGAAGGACATATACAGGGTGTCCCACGGTGGATGGCGTATTAGACGTTTATGGAGAACTAAAAAGCGGATCATTTTGAAAATTTGGCATCCGGGATAAACGACCATGATCTACACTTTAAAAATATTTTTGACCATGCGGTGTTGCCGCTTCTACTCTAAACTAGTGGCAACATCACTATTTTAAATGGAACACCCCGTATTAAATTGCATATTTGGATTCTACGTAAAATTCTAAGCAGATTTCATGTGATATACCCTATACCTAAGTTCAACTGTTTTGGAAATATTGACAGTTGAAAATTGACTTTTTGCAACTTTGACAGGCTGTAGAACCTGAACGGTTAATTTTAGAGGAAAACCGATTTTACATTCGTATCTTAGATTTTTATAAACTATCATTTGACACCAACTTAGAATTAAATCCATGATTAAAAATTTCAGTTAAATTTAATCTCCGGTTAAGTTCAAAGTTGGTGTCAAATGATAGTTTATCAAAATCTAAGACAGGAATGTGAAATCGATTTTCCTCTAAAATTAACCAATTAGGTTTTACAGCCTGTCAAAGTTGCAAAAAGTCAATTTTCAACTGTCAATATTTCCAAAACAGTTGAACTTCGGTATAGGGTATATCACATGAAATCTGCTCAGAATTTTACGTAGAATCCAAATATGCAATTTAATACGGGGTGTTCCATTTAAAATAGTGATGTTGCCACTAGTTTGGAGTAGAAGCGGCAACACCGCATGGTCAAAAATATTTTTAAAGTGTAGATCATGGTCGTTTATCCCGGTTGCCAAATTTTCAAAATGATTCGCTTTTTAGTTCTCCATAAACGCCTAATACGCCATCCACCGTGGGACACCCTGTATATAGAGAAATTGTTGATACCTTCAAGTGTTTCCATGAAGAATTCTATCATTTGTCAATAATTAAAGAAAATAACGCAAATACTAATGTGGTAGATCGTGGATCTAACACTGACATACCAATCTACACAAAATTACCTAATAAAAACGTCAATGTATGAACCGAGGTTGGAGCTGCATCTAAAAATACCTGTAGATTTGTTGACGTAAGTGCAGTCTTCAAATAATTGGGATCTAGTATCTTTTTTGATAGAACTATGTATATGATTTTGATA